TTTGAATCAAAAGGTGGCTACGAAGAGCTTTCTGAAGGAGCTGTACTCGTTTTCCATATCAATTGCGATAGCTGGCATGAATTAGAGGAAGAATCGTGTGAATGAATGGAAAACGTGTTGTAACTGTATTGAGAATATCAAAATTCTGTGTCTCACATCGTTTGTCGTATTTCAGAAAGAAGTCGAAGAAGCTGAAATTTCCGGTAATCTCGATGCTCCAGAAGGAGGATTCGACGCTGTCGTTCAAGCGCTTACCTGTAATGTACGTAGTGGATTCCATTTTATTCACATTCAGTTCATGGAACAGATTTTCGATTTTATACTTAAGGATAAAGATTGCAACATCGATGACACTGTCGCTATACCACTCGATTTCGAGCAAAACTTACTTCGGTGAACGGCAATCGAATAAAAATCGCTTTTTAAGTAAGAGTAGATCCAAATTCCATAGAATCTCATTAGTGATTAGTGCGGAGTGTTAAATGGAGATGTGATCAGTATTGCAATCTGTTGTTTATAAAGTATATTGCTTCTCATTGCAAGACATTACTGGTGAATGTTGTATTCAGTTAATAGCAATGAATTGATTTGGTTGTAGGATAGTATCGGATGGCGTGAACGAGCACGTAAGATGATCGTCTTCTCAACAGATGCTGGTTTTCATTTCGCTGGTGATGGAAGGGTATGTTAATTTAGATTATTCATCATTTGCGTACATGTTCGTATGGCACTCGTAGTGTCCCTCGTAAGTAAGATGCATTTAATGGGAAATGGCGATCATCAAAGACACGTTTTGAATCCAATTGCAGTCTACGGAATACGTGAAGAGAGAGGAATATCATTAACTATAAGGGAAATAGGATCGTAACTTTTGGAAGCACAATGCTATTGAAGAAAAGAATTCATAGTGTTAGCCAATACTGAATTAGGTTCATTCGTTGTAGATTAGCTATGTTTTAAATTTATCATCTCGACATTTTAATAGAGTCAAATTGTTGAATAT